TATCATCCTGCTTTTTTTTCAATTTCAGGTCTTTGGGAGTATTTTACAAAAGAATTTTTTGAAGTTGAAAAATTGAATTGTTTTCCTTTTATTCACAAACTTTTGTATACTTTTATAATTTTTTGATGTTGAAAAATTGAATCATTTTCCTTATAACATAAACTTTTGTGTACATTTTTTTATATTACTTACAGATCATACCTTATTTAGCAATTAATAGTATTAGATAGAAAATAATTGATATTATTAAATTAAACTATTTATTATTTTACATATTTGGTAATATTGATATCATATTGTATTATATAATTATATTACTTTAAACTTTTAAATACTTAGAGTTTTTTATTTTTTTTGTTTATTTATTCAACTATTTATTATTTTATATATTTGGCAATATTGATATCATATTGTATTACATAATTGTATCACTTTGAAACTTTTAAATACTTGAAGTTTTTTGTTTTTTTTATTTAATATTAATAATATTTTTTTATCTTTCATAATTCATTTGATAATATATTTAGAAATTGCTATTTCTTTTCTAATAAACAATGTAATTATATTAGATAATGCTATAATATATTTAATATATCTTCAAAATTACCTTTAACAATATTACTAAATAAAGAAATTTTGAAGTGGAAAATGATAGTGATATAAATGCCACTAGAGATAATTGAACTGAGATAGATATTTATAATGAAGAAGAGAAAATAGCAGATTTTGATATAGAAAATGAGAAAATAAATGAAAATAATATAGAATTTGATAGTAATGATAAAATAAAAGAAGGTGATATAAATGAATACGAGAGAATAATGATGAAGTTTAATGAAAGTAAAGCAGAAAAATATATTTATTTAAAATTAATTTTAATTTTGTCTATTCTTTTAAAGTAATATTAATGATATACTTCTAATTTTCTATTCATATAAACTTATAAATAATATTATTTTCTTAAATTTATATAACTAATTATAAACTTATTTTCTTATATATTAAGTGTATTAGTAACTTATTTACTATTATATTTTATATTTATAAATTTATAACATGATTAAATTTTAAAATAAAATCCTTTTTTATTTAAAGAATCTTTATTTTTAATATAGAATTCTACTTTTTACTTTAGTTTAATATTTTGTTATAATATTATGATCAATATTTAAAAATAATTTTTTATTAAAATAATCTGCTATTTTAAATTTTATTTTATTACTATTATTTTTCATTCATTTATAAATTTATTATTTGAGATTAATATTTATAACTAAATAATACTATTTGAATTTATTAGAATTCATTATAAAAATTAATTAAAAAAAAATAATAAAACAAAAATTATTAGAAAAATAAAACTTTTTAGTGATAAAACATAATAATAATTTAAAATTTATAATAATATTATTATTATTATTTTATTTTTTAAATTTTATTGTAATATTTTATATATTATATTTTAAATATTTTAAGTATTATATTTTTTCATGTTACATTTTTTTGTTATAATTATATAATATTAAATTTTATATTTATTATGTTCTTAAAAAGTTAGTTAATTAAATTTCTTAATATAAACTAATTAAAAATTTGTAATTATGAAGAAATCAAATTATTAACAAAATAATATATATATTATTAAGTTTTTAATAAGTTAAGTTGAGTTAAATTTTAAGTCAAAATTATCTTACATACTTTTAATTTAAAGTACTTATTTATTATATATAATAAAAATTTACAATTATGCATAATTATGCGAGTCAAATATACAAATTTATATAATTCATTTTTAAACTCTATATATTATAAATTTAATATAATAGTAATTATAATCAATTGATAATTATATAAAAGTAATTTAATAATATTAAAATTTGCTTTATAAAATAAATACTATAGAGTCAAAAAATTATAAATATTATATTATATAACTTTAACAATCAAAAGAAAAATATAAAAAATAAATTATAATGTTAAAAATTAGAAAATAACTAATTAAATAAAGAATTTTAATAAATAAATATTTAACTAAAATCATATATTATTAAATACATATCATATAATATAGAATATAAATAAATCATATGATAAGAAATATAAGTAAATAAATAATTACTAGACAATAAAAAAATATTTAAGAATAGAAATGATATAATAATCTATAAATATTATAATAAAAATGATATAATATTTATAAAGAAAAATGAAAATGTGAAATAATAGAAATTAAAAGAAATAGAGCAGAGAATTTTGCTAGTAAACTTTTAAAATAAGTGATGATAGTAAAGGTAAATTTTCACTTTAAAATATGTAATATAATAAATTTTATTCTTATTTTTTTTTGATTCTTTATTTTTTAAGGTAGAAATAAATTTAGTAATAGAAGTATTAGAAATATCAAATGCAAATATTTTACACTACTTATAATTAATAGGATTAATAATGACATTTCAGATGAGATGATTAAATCTCACATAGATGCAAATAATACCTATTATAAGTTACATTTAAATAATACTACACCTCATCTTACAACTAGTTCTATATCTTTTCCTATACCTATTAGTTCTACATTTTGTTTTACATCTCATTCTAGTATACCTTACTCTATATTTCATTTTACAACTAATTCTATATCTCATCCTATACCTTATCTTAGTACATCTCAATCTAATAATGCACATAGTTTCAATAATACATCTTGATCTAACAACATATATATATAGGGCTGGAATTTAATGATGATATATTTCGCTCAAATTCTTATTTTACATCTCGGTCTAATGAAAGATTCTATAATCAAACATTAGAATTTACTAATCAATTAACACATTTAATAATATTCTGTAATATAAATAATATTCATCAAATATGCTTATGATTATGTAAGAACTCAAGCATCTTATTACTTATATATTATATGTATCTATTAATATAAATACCAATTGCAAATGCATTTCACTTTACTTCAAATTTTAATTTATCTACTTTAGCAACTGATGTATCACAAACTCCAAAGCAAGAAGATAGGGTAGGTATAATAATAATTTATTTTTCATTATTTAATATTACTAACTGCTAATTTATATAATATAGATAAAAGCAAATCAGGATTTCTCAAAGAGCTTAAATGTTTGTTTCTTCAGATCTAAAATCCTAGTAAGAGTGCTTTCGAAAAGTTGGTATGATAAATTTTTAATTGCAATCTCAATTTGAATGAAAGGATAGAATGTCTACGCATAGCGAATAAAAATTTTAATGACTTTTAAAATAAATTTCTTGACGATATTGAAGAATTGATTAATATGTTCAAAGAAGAAAAATGCTAGTAAGCAGATTATTTGTTTTTTTTACTTCTGTTGTATTAATTATTTTTGGCTAATTTATTTCTTTTATTTATTACAGAGATGCAACTTAACTTTCAAAAAGTAATATAATTATATTTATTAATAAAGCTTTAATGATAAACTTCTTATAAAGGTGGTTTAATATAACAAATATGATTGAGTTAAGAATCTAAAACTCTTTATATACTTTACAAAAATTTGTTTGAAGGTATTTTTCATAAATTATAATTTAAGGGATACTGATAGAATGAAATCTTTAGATAGGGTGATGAAGAACATAATGGTTCTATCTTAAAATGAAAAAAATATCACTAGCAACTTATGATTATGAAATATGAGTTATTCAACAATTTAATAATACTTATATCAATATCATATTCTTAAATCTTAGTTTATTAGTTTCTGTTGTACTTATTTTTTCATTACTACTAATTTTAGTATTTATATAGCATTTTTTAATATAGTAACATTAATTTTTATGATAACATTTAATCTTATTATAAATTTTTATTATAATATAGTATTTATTTTTATTACAATGGAATTTTATTACAAAAAAGGAAATTTTTATTATAAATAGATTTTTATTACAATGAAATTTATTATTATAATCTTTATTACATAAGCTTTATTCAATAAAATATAACGAAAAAATGAACTTAAAAATACCAACTTGAGAACATAATGCATTTATTACCAAATAGTTAATATATCAAAAAAATAACTTGAATTAATATTTTTCAGCTATTTTGCAATGATATTTACCATCTATTTAAAACTATTTCTTTATTATGTTACAATTTCAAGCAAATAATTTTTTGATAAATTTATAAGATTGTCCGTTTAATACTAAATTGCTGTGAATTGATGATAATCACTTAACCATATGATAACAAATTACGAGTTTCTGTAAAGTAATTATAAAACAAATAAATTTATTTTAAATATTTTTTTTATTATAGTAAATAAAAATTATTTAAAAAGATTTTAACTAATATTATAAATATTTTTAATATAAAAAAAATGATAATAATTGTTTTATTATATTATAAATATTTATACAATTTAAAAACAATTTTAATTTCAAAAATAGTTTTAATAGAAAGTAAATATCTGTATAATTTATTATTAATCTTTAAATATTTTTATTAATACTTTAAACTTTGAAAAAGTATTAAAAAGCAGTTATATTATATTAATCATTAATTTGTTAAATGAATAGTTCTAAATATTATTATAGTTTAATTATATGTAAATGATTATTTGATAAATAAATATTTTGTCTGATAAATTTATATTAAAAATATATATTATTATTTAATTTATTCTGTAAATGAATTGTTAAATTATGGATTGATTATGGTTTTTAGAATAATTTTTGATTAGATTTTATTATGAAATCTCTGTGATAATTATATTGAACAAATTGAACAATTACAAGTTATAATCAAAAATCAGTAAAAAAATTTATTGTTTAACAGGCGTTTAAAAACGAAAATTTTTAAAAATTTTCTTTTGATTAAAATCAAAAACAACTATATTTATAAAACAAATTACCCAGTAAAATTTTAATAACAATATAATATAATAACATATAATACAAATACTTACAAACTAAAAATAAAATATTCTAAAAGCCATTACTAAGATTTATTTTTTAAGTTTTTTAAGGGAATGTAACCAATTTAATAAATAATTAAATGGACAAAGACATGAACTAGTATGATCATCTTGATCATCTTGATATTCCAAATTATCTTGTCCGTCAATTTGGCGAGACTCTGCAAGATAAATACAGTAATCAATATAATTGGACCTCAAAAAAGCAAACTATGCGATATTTATTTACCTGAATAGGGAAAAGAATTTAGCAGCTTGGACCTTCTGTCAGTATTAATGATTCTAGGCATATCATCAAATTCCAATAATCTACTATGATAAACAGCTTCAGGATGGCTAACATAAAGAAGCGGAGTAGGAGTGAAAGTAGAAGAATTTCTAGACATCTCATCACAAGATTTACACTGTGCATTAATTTCCGATAATTTATCGTTTTGTAAATCATTCCACCATTGAGTTAATAATTCATTTAATTCTTTAGCAGAAGGTCTGTTATTAGGCTTCGTTTCCCAACACCTTTGAATTAATTCTGCCAGTAATCTCGGAGTATGCACCGGAATTTCTGGTCTTGACCCTCGACATATTTCAGCGGCCAACCGACTATCATGAGCAACATTATTAAAAGGCGGTAATCCTGATATAATCTCATTCATCATTACACCAAAAGCATAAATATCACTTTCTTTGGAAAATATTTTTGAGTGTAATACTTCGGGTGCTAAATAAGGTAAAACCCCATAAATTTCTACTTTATCCCTTAATAATGAAGTGAATTTAATCGTTGGTTTTTTAATACCAACGTCTGTAATAATGGTTTCTCCTGTTCCTGTTCTTAATATATTTCCCACATGAAGGTTATAATGTATGTAACCTGATTCATGCATCCACTCTAATCCTCGTGTTATGCTTGAAAGTATATTCATCTTTCCATACCAATTCATTGTGTTGAATCTTCCATTCAGGTATGATCTAATACTTCCTTGAACCGCATATTCCATTACGATCATATAATCATCTGTTTCCGGATATTGTGTAATTCCATAATACTGAACGATGTTACTATTATCATGTAACTGTAAATGTACCTTTACGATCTAAATAATAATAATAATAATAAGAATAAGAAACAGTTAATAGCCGTGTAACGATAAATCATTATTATTCAATATTCAAAGGCATACTTGATTGAGAAATTCCATAGTGATAAACTTAGAATTATGCAATCGTTTAAGTGCAACCATATCAGTTCCGTGCCGTTGCCACTGTTCGAGATTATTATCCCACCCTAAAATATATCCATCCACCCAATAAGCAGAATATACCGTACCAAAACCGCCTTTCGACACGTATTTTACATCTTGAAATTTATTAAAGGGAATCCATTCCAACACACATTTATTACTCCTTGCCGATAATTGAGCATTTCTTATTATCTTATTAACATTTTCGTTTCCACTTGACCAATAATCAAATTGAGAACGAAACTGTAACGAGTTACATGATCGACACCAATTATCTTCGCCTGTATTCGGTTGATTGCACTTTGTACATTGTCCAAATTTTTCTAATAATTCTTTTTCAGATGTTGAATTCATTTGAAATGTTACGGTAGACATTTGAGCTGTTGATGCTCTTTCTTTTAAATAATGTGAAGAAGGATATTCTTCTAGTAATCTTGATGACGTTATTGACACGGCCTCAGAATTACCACCAACCAAATAATCATTATCATGTTTATCTTCGTGTCCTTCATCTGTTGAACGTGACGTTGTTCCTGATAATTCAGTCGAATCTAAATGCTTCGTTGCTTCCACTTTCTCTTCTTCTAAAGGTTTTATCTCTTTCTTTATTGTGGTCGTAACATCAACAACTTGAGTTTCTGACGACATTGTGATTTATCTATAAAATAAATTTAAGATAAAATATTTTTAATTTGGCATTATGGAAATTTATAATAACGGTAAAGTAATAATGATTTAAGAATTAATTACCTTAATAATTAGAAATAACTTTGATAATTTTAAAAACTGGAAAAAAACGAGATTTGATACTGCGGCACAATAACGATTGTAAATCAAAATTTGTACTAGATACGATCAATTGATTAGCGTTTAATCTGATAGTTTAAAATTAACTGAATTCAAAACAAACATGTGAGTTGGTCAATTAAAAAAAAAAAAAGGGTGAGAGGAAAAAAAAAAAAAACGAATAACGGAAATATTTCATAAAACCACACTATAAATACCTTTTTTTGGTTTTTTATGTCTAAATAAGAAAATAGGTGTTTTACATAGTAATTTAATTATTTATGGAATATCTATGGCGTTTCTTTTGTCGTAATCTCATGATTATAACTTTTGGCGTAGTCCTGTAAAATGTCTATAATGGGTTCATTGTTAATGCAGGTTTTTTTTTTGAAAAAAGAATCATTATAAAAAATTTCCAATTCATCTTGTTTTAAGTTGTACAATGCTGTGATTATATAGATTTGTCATGTAACATGTCACACCACACATCACGATACCAAATAAATTCGTTATATTTTTAGTCCATCGTCTTACAAATTATTTAAATTATTTAAATGATGCCGTGTGACCCAACAGTATCGAAGTTGCTGCGCCACAGAAAATTCGGAATCGATCGTACAAATTATTTTGGGTCCGAAGACGTTTCATCATTAGGGTAACAATAGATACTAATGCGATTATAAACGGCTAATATAAATATCCGAACCATAACGTAACCACTATATAAATAATTCACATGTTTTTTTTGTTTTTTTTTTTAATAGAAAGCTCCTCCGAGCTAAGCAGTGCGCACCGATCAATCCGTCGCAGATCATAAATTATTCACTGGTAGGAATAGTTTCACACTACGCAATTAAGACACTCAAAAGTTCTCCTGCAAAGATCTTTGCCAAGACTTTTGTCGCATTGAATTCTTTGTTTTAAAAAATAATGGGTGTAATAAATGCTCAAAATCTATATAACACTAGTGTATAGCTAATATACTGTATATAATAGTGCAATCGTTATTATTATTGAAATGAAAGTAAAGAGAGATGGTTTCAACCTTTCATATCTCTATATTAATTGATTTAAGGTTAACAAAAAGCGAAGAAAATGGTAGCCAGACAGGTTTTTTGAATCTTACCATCATTATATATTTAATTGTTAGAACTAAACAAATCGAATTAATATATAATTATTATTAATTCAATACTAATTAATTTAAATTAATCTCATATTCATATATAACAGTATATTAATATCATGAATTTATATATTTTAAAACAATTTGTTAAAGTTAAAATTAGTTTACTATAAATATTTTCTTTTTATTGGTAAAAAATTGCAAACAAATTTTCCTGCAATTTTAATCTAATAAATAATATTACTTAAAAGATTAAAAGATAATTTATTAATTAAAATAATCAAATTATATACTTAAATTATAAACAGAAAATAATTTGTAATTAGTATTATTATAAACAAGGTTAATACTTTATAAATACTAAATAAAAATTTAAAATTAAATAATTTTTAAAATAATTAAAGTTTTCAAATTACATTTTAAACAGAAATAATAAATATATTAGCTTATGTAAAATATTATTTACTTTATAAATATTAATTTAATATTAATAAAAATAGAAATTTAAGTAACAAATACCAGACATATCACATGTAGACCATAGCAAATGACATGTTAATCATTTGATTGATAAAATTTTATATGCTTTTTATCACAGTTTTGATTTTACGTATAATATAATTATGTAATATTACTAATTTTATTTTATATAAATGTTTATTTAGTTCCTTAAAATATTTTTAAATTTTAAAAGTTATAGTTTAATAGTTTCAAAAAAAATTTTTTAAACATATTATCTATTATATATCTATACTAATATATAAAGTATTATAAATAATTTTAATATAAACTAGAAAAACAGAAACTATTATGCAATCTAAAACATCATTTATATCACGAAAAAACAAAAAAATAATTTAATATAAGACTAATTTTTTTATTATTATCACCTGACCATGTAAAATATTGTTTATTATACCTAATTCTAAAATTTAATTGAGCATTTATATAAAGTGATAGACAGATATTACATGATTTTGAATGTATACAATATTCCTTTATTATGCTTCAGATAAAAATATTATACTAACTTAAGATTTTAATTTTATTATAAATTTTTCTATTAATTAAAAATATAATATAAAAATAAAATTTTTTATTAAATAATTAATATTAATAATTATTATTCAATTTTATATACTAACTATTTATCACAATTAAAATTGTTGAGTAAAATCTAGAATATTATAAATTAACTAAAGGTAAAAGGTAAAATTTAGTAAAATTTTATTAAAATTTTATTAAAAAATTTACAAAATTCTGAAAAAGTAAAAATGATATTAAAGCTTATAAAAATGCAAAACTATATCAAAATTATAGATGAGGGACGAAACCCCTTAATAACAGTCGAAACTTAGACGAAACTATATTAAAATCATAATAAGGGA